TACACAGGGATTCTACATGAGGGCACCTCAGTTTCTAACCTTTTTCCTGATAGACCATACCTGCTGTCTCACTTCTATCTTTTCTTTTACCTTAGAAGGTAAATGTGTAACTCTCTACAAGTGATTTTAGAATATTTTTAGTGTGCTTCATAAGGATCAATTGCTTTCACTTTTACTAGTGACAAATTATAGCTAATTATTGAAGGTCTTAGCAATCTGAATTATATTTAATGTTATGTTACTTAAGTTTAAAATTGATGTGGTCAAAGCATTATCAGAATAATTTATAAGTATATATCCTTTATATTTATACGTACACATGTACACATACTCACACAAACATACAATATAAGCCAATTAACATTGATTCAAGGGACTGATGAAATTTTAGACAGTCCTAAGTGTATAGTTAAAGATTAAACAATGTGGAATTATATGGAATGAGTGCACACCCTGTGGAAGAATTGGAAAAGCTTAGAAACCTATATCCTGGTTATAGCAGTAACTAGCTGCATAGAATGAATAAGTTAAACTCTTTGAGTCTCATTTATTTTACTTACAATAGAAATTATTTACATGGGATTAAATATAAAACTTAAATTTCTAATAGTTCTTTGATAATTAACATTTACCCATTGACTGAATGATGATAGGTAGATTTGTATGAGTTGGTTAGTATTTAGGGTTAACTACCATATACACAGTAAGAATTCAATGTGTAATAAATAATATAATGGTAATTTTATTTCCCCTCACTAATAAATTAATATGACTGGTGTTGACATTGATTATATAACATTGAGCATTCATATAAATATTAAAATAATATTAAAATAAAAAATTAGATAGGGCCAGCACCGTGGCTCACTTGGTTAATCCTCTGCCTGCTGCGCTGGCATCCCATTTGGGCGCTGGGTTCTAGTCTTGGTTGCTCCTCTTCCAGTCCAGCTCTCTGTTGTGGCCCGGGAAGGCAGTGGAGGATGGCGGAAGTGCTTGGGTCCTGCACCCTCATGGGAGATCAGGAAGAAGCACCTGGCTCCTGGCTTCAGATCAGCGCAGCTCCGGCCGTTGCAGCCATTTGGGGAGTGAACCAACAGAAGGAAGACCTTTTTCTCTGTCTCTCTTTCTTACTCTCTATAACTCTACCTGTCAAATAATAATAATAAAAAAAAATAGATAGAATGTATTAGCAGAAGAATGAGCCAATTTTTTTGTGTGACTTCTGTTTCCCATAAGGGCTTATAATCTTTCAGTTAAAAATTCCAAAAGGAAACTCGAGGAAAAACAGCTTTATTTTTGGGTGAAGAAAGGATGGTGAAGCAGCAAATTCTGATTTGGGGAATTATCATTTTTTGTTTAAATGTGGTTTTTATAGCCTTTTTTCCTTTTAATCTGCATATCAAGTGGGATGATTTCTAATGCTCTTTCTATCTCTGGCATTTTGGACATTTTCTCTGGGCTTTATAGCAGTAAAACTTCTTCTGAAGTTATTTTTTGCACATAGTTTTTTTCTTGTTAATTCTCTCACTATTCGTAATAAACTTATGTATTTTCTCTTCCTGGGTAGGAATGTTTTATATATATATATATATGTATATAAATAATAATAAGTTTTTGTCAATGCCCAAATTAAGATCAAAGCATTAAGTTACCCACAATCTCCCACTGTTCCCTCCCCGTTTCTTTTTTTAATGTGTGAAATAAGTGTTTACTGCCATGTGTATATGGCATGAGTCAATGAAGCTTTATTTTTAATTGTATACCAAATGATATGACATCTACATGACTTTTATACTCTCTATTAACTACTACAAATAAAACATGTGATATTTATCTTTTTGGGTCTGGCTTATTTCATCTAGCATAACAGTTTCAAGTTGCATTCATTTTGTTGCAAATGTCAGAATTTCATTCTTTTTTTAATTGTTTTTTTTTTTTAAAGATTTTATTTATTTGAGAGGTAGAATTACAGACAATGAGAGGCAGAGGCAGAGGCAGAGAGAAAGGTCTTCCGTTGGTTCACTACCCAGATGGCTGCAACGGCTGGAGCTGCGCTGATCCAAAACCAGGAGCCAGGTGCTTCTTCCTGGTCTCCCACATGGGTGCAGGGGCCCAAGGACTTGGGCCATTTCCTACTGCTTTCCCAGGCCATACCAGAGAGCTAGATTGGAAAACGGGCAGCCAGGACTAGAACTGGCATCCATATGGGATGCTGACACCGCAGGCAGAGGATTAACCCACTGTTCATGGAGCCGGTCCCCAGAATTTCACTCTTTTTTATGGCTGAGTAATATTCCACATTTTCTTTATCCAGTCATCAGTTCATGAACATCTAGGTTAATCCCACATTTTAGTTATTGTGAATTAATCTTGGGAGTCAGGTAGCTCATATTCTGATTTGATTTCCTTTGGATATATTCCCAGGAGTAGGAGAGCTAGGTCATTTGGTAAAAGTATTTTTAGTTTTCTAATGAATCTCCATACTGCCTTCCATAATGGTTGTACTAGTTTGCATTCCTACCAACAGTGTATCAGTATTAGTGTATTAGGGTGTATTCTCCACATTAATATCCTTGACAGGAAAAAAAATTCTGGATGCATGAAGTCTTATTTCCAGAGCCTGAGTTGTGTTCACTGGGGGTTATGTTTGATAATGTTTACTCTGATAATACTGATTAACCAAAGCTTCTGGCCTTACCTCAGTGTTGTAAAGCCTTTTTTCTCTCAGTCTTTCTCCTTTGGACAGTACTTAGACTGAGGAAAAGATCAGATATGGTTGAGTTTTGGCTTCTTTGAGTTACCTTATTATTGGTATCCAAATGCTTCACTACCATCTAGATGTCTTAAGATAGAAGAAAAATATGCATCTTACTCTGTGGTAGGCAGCTATGTTTGTGCTTGTGGCGATGAAAAGAAAAGAGACTATACTGTGATGAAAAGTTTATTTTCATTTTTAATGCATTACAGTTTTATTGATCTTATATACAGGAAGTCATCACAGTAAGTCCAAAAGTAGTAGAGCAGAGTACCAGAGGTAACCAAAAAAAGATGCAAATATTTTGAATCTTTACCTAGGAAACTACCACATTCTTTGTTCAGGACACTGGATATGTTATAAAGTTACTGGAGACAGTTTGGCTCCTAAACCATATCTCTTAGCTCACTGGATAGGTTTGTTAATAATTGATAAAAATCAAATATAGAAAACTCAAATTTTGAGTCTTAGAAATTTTAGAAAGCATTCATTTTATTTCACAGTACCCATATCGTTTCATCATATAGTTCTGAATATAGTCCTAAGTACTAATTAACTATTTATTCAATATTTTCTATCCAGGGAACTCCTTGATTATGGAGCCTTATAAAAAAGACTTTGCATCAAACAAAATAATAGAGTACATTAGTATAGTTAAAAGAACAGCCATATCCCCCTACTACCAAAGGAAGGGCTCCTGTTAAATATCTTGTTTTCATATTGCATTTCTTAATTTCTCTTGGGGTTAATTCTTAACTTGGGTTAGTTTGTTTCCTGTTGGCTTTCTATTCAAACTAATAGCACCTTTGTTCTTGGACATATTCATAGAGTGGAGTGTTACTATCTAAGTAAAAGGAACCTGAGTCTACTCTTTCCCTTCCATGGTAACTTCTAGCCTCATAGCTTCTTGTCTGTTTATCATCCACATCCTGACTATATTTTCTAGTGCCCCCTGAAAGACTTGATCCTGACTCTTTCCTTTGCCTCCGCCCACCCAATGTGGTTGTAACACTTGATAAATATCTATACCTATATTCTCCAGTTCCTGTGTGGTCTTGGCTATCTAGAAAGTGCTGGGAAATAGATCTTTGATTCCTGCTTCCACTGTCACTTGACTGCTCATAGCTGTCACTTGATTGCGTATGGCTATATCCTTGCTTTTCATTGGTGCTTGATCCATATTGACCCTGGGTGTCTTGTGATCGCCCATGACTTGATCCATGTTTTGCTGAACTTCTACAAGACAGCTGGTAACTGGATTCATGTACAAGCAATGTATTTAGCTCTGATTTTCCATACTCAGATCCTGGTTGTTCCTGGTTCTGTTTCCCTTGATCTTCTGAATGCTCTTTACCATCTCTGTGGGATCCCTGCCCTTCAGTTGAGCTAGAATCTGAGTGTTGATGAAATGAAATGGATTGTCTATGGACAGATTCAGAGTGGTTACTTGGCTGTCTATTAGTAGTTCCCTGCCTTCTTCCTGTGCTATAACCAGTTTGAAAATGGGTGTCGCTTGACAGTTCAGGAGTTACTACTGAATGCCCACGACAAGATTGTTGCCCTGTAGTTACGCTAGATCCGGACTGACTATGGGAATCAGGTGATTGCCCAAGAATTGCTTCTGACTTTCCATACCTTGAACCCTGACTTCCGGTTATTTCAGTTGCTTTGGATACTTTATGGTCAGAAGTAGTATATGATTGTGCATGTCTATACACTTGTGTGCTTGAGACTAAATCTGTTGTTCTCACAGGGATAGAATTGTGGTTGCTAGTTCTGCTGCCACCAGAAGGTCCATACCCAGACTGCCCATAATCATATTCTGCTTGCCCATAGCTGCCATGTCTCCAGACTTGACTTGATCCATGTCTTTGTCGTCCACTACTCTGTGAGTGAAAATGTCTTGTTCCAGAATGGCCACGGGCACTACTAGACTCTTTCCTTGTTGTATCTCGTGACTGCCAAAGAGAGCTTTGTGGCTGTTTATGGCTGGACAATAACTCTCCCTGTTGAGATCCTGCTTGGCCTTGATGGGATCCTGTGTGTCTGTGTGAGACTCCAGAATGCTCCTCACTCTCACTGGACTCAGTGTGGACTGATCCTCTTCTTCCGGTTGAGTCGGGCACAGTGTGCGAGGATTGCCCACGACTAGACTGCTCAGATCTAGAGGTATCTCTTGACTGCCGTTGCGTCGTTCTTTGTGTCCCCTGACCTGAGGATCCAGACTCTCCCTGTTGAGATCCTGCTTGGCCTTGATGGGATCCTGTGTGTCTGTGTGAGACTCCAGAATGCTCCTCACTCTCACTGGACTCAGTGTGGACTGATCCTCTTCTTCCGGTTGTGTGAGGCACAGTGTGCGAGGATTGCCCACGACTAGACTGCTCAGATCTAGAGGTATCTCTTGACTGCCGTTGTGTCGTTCTTTGTGTCCCCTGACCTGAGGATCCAGACTCTCCCTGTTGAGATCCTGCTTGGCCTTGATGGGATCCTGTGTGTCTGTGTGAGACTCCAGAATGCTCCTCACTCTCACTGGACTCAGTGTGGACTGATCCTCTTCTTCCGGTTGAGTGGGGCACAGTGTGCGAGGACTGCCCACGACTAGACTGCTCAGATCTAGAGGTATCTCTTGACTGCCGTTGCGTCGTTCTTTGTGTCCCCTGACCTGAGGATCCAGACTCTCCCTGTTGAGATCCTGCTTGGCCTTGATGGGATCCTGTGTGTCTGTGTGAGACTCCAGAATGCTCCTCACTCTCACTGGACTCAGTGTGGACTGATCCTCTTCTTCTGGTTGAGTGGGGCACAGTGTGCGAGGATTGCCCACGACTAGACTGCTCAGATCTAGAGGTATCTCTTGACTGCCATTGCGTCGTTCTTTG